AAAAAAGGGTTGCCTTCGGAAAAAAAAAGCTCAGGAAAGCAATAAAACAATGAATGTTCTCATGAAACAGAGGATTTTCAAATGTAACCAATAAAGTTACATATGTAACCACGATCCATTGAAATATATTACTTTTTTTTTTTCATTTTTTTTACATTTTTTAACGATCAAAATTCATCCAATAATTTTTATTCAATGAAATTTGAAATATCACAAATACAAAAATTCCGATGTTAAAAAAGTTAAGCAACGATTTAAATAAAGAAAAAAAAACTACAAAATCCAAATAACAAACTTTTCCATCGCAAATACAAAAATCCAGGTAGTAAAAATTTACCTAATAATTCAAATAAAGAAAAACTACAAAATCCAAATGAAAAATTTTCCATCGCAAATACAAAAATCCAGGTGTCAATAAATTTAATTAATAATTCAAATAGAAAAAAAAAAAATTACAAAACCAAAATAAAAATTACGTTAGAAATCTAAACACACATTTGACTTTATGTCAAATTATATCAAAACGAGATAGATTTAAACGAGTTGATAATAAAAATATAAAATAAAATAAAAATAATAATGTTAGACTAAAAAAAAAAAAACAAAAAAAAAATATAAAAAAAAGAGAAAAGGTTGTAAAGCGTTAAAAGTAGGAAAAAAGCTCTCACCGAGAAGCTATCTAAGTAGTTATCAGAAATTTCACGTAGCAAAAGCATTCAGTACCACTTATCGGGCTATCCAACGATCCCCAACCTCCAATTCCTCAACCCTCAGCAACCCTACTCTTTTCTACCCCCCCCCCTCCAACCAACATCCCCTATACTTTTACTACCTTCAGTAAGCTGTCTTTCCTTTATCTCTTAAACGTATCTTTCTCAACTTAAACGCAAATACACAACATGCAACTAGAAACTTAACACATAATCGTTTCTAGTAAAATATTTTTTTTATCTATGCTGAAAAAACCTTGAAATTTATTTATTAGCCTCATCATTGAAATTATTATTAAATATTTAAAAAATAATAATAATAATAATTATTATTATTATATATGTGATTCATCTTCTTTTCTATTCTTTTTGTTTATCATTTTTCTATTATTCTATTAGTTAAACGTTTATTTAAAAATGTAAAATTAATTATTATACACACGAATATTGCATTTTATTTTTTTTTCTACATAATTTCTTTAATTATTATTGTTAAATCTAATTTATAAAATAATTAAGGATATTTATCTATTAAATAAACTATTTATCTATTAAAATAATATTATATATTTTTGTTTAATGGAATTTTTAAAATAATTAAAGATATTTATATCTTTTAAATAAAATTAAAAAAAAAAAATAAATAAAAATAAATTGTACATAAAAATAAAATTATAAAAAAATAAAATTAAAATTATAAAATATATATAACAAATAAATTAAAAATTATGAAATAAAAATTTTAAAATATATAAAAATAAAATTATAAAATAAATAAAAATATATACTTATTAAATATAATTAAAATACAAATACAAATTGAATAAAATAAAATACAAATTATAAAATATATAATATTAAATAAAACTATATTACAAATATAATAAAATATATATAACAAAATGTTTCATATTGTCAAATATAATTTGATATGTAAAATAATTAAAAAAAAAAAAATATTAACCAAATACAATTATTAGACTATAACAAAATCATTTAATGCATTGAATATGCAAATAAATTCATTGCAAACAACAGAATATACAAAAAAAAAAATGATTTTCTATTATAACTTATTCAATTTTTCTATTCTTTTTTTTTTTTAAATAATTATAATAATTCATAATAATTTATAAAAATGAATAATAATTCCAATCAATACATTACTCAAATGAAATATTTTTCATCTTCTATAAGATAATCATAAATAAACATTTATCACAAACAAGAACTACTACGACACTGAGCACTAATGCATACGTGCATATCATATTTCCACAACAACACTAACAATACACTAACACACACAAGCATATGCGAAATAAATTTGATACTTATTTAATATCGTTTATATACATGATATGATACATCTATCATAGTTCGAATAAGACTGACAATACTGAAAACAACAACTACGTAATACAATCTCGAAAGAAACCGAACGTACACGAATTTGTTTACAAGTTAAACAACGAGAAACTTTTTCTAGAATAAAAATAAACCTCTACTAGAATATGGATACCTGGTTGTTATTGAGGAAGGTGGGAGGAGTGTATATAAACAAAAGCTTGAAGTACGACGCGTATACACGCAACGTTCTTTCAACCATTTTTTTTCTTTCTTTTTACGTCAATTTTTCGTGTTACTAGTATAAATAATAATAATAGAAAAAGAAATAGAAAGATAGAAATATTATATGTTATTTAAATTGAATATTATTTTCTATAGGATCGGTAATGTAGAAATCTATATTAGATTTTATTTGTATTTTAATTATAAATCTAAATTAAATTTGATTATATATTTATTTTATTATATTTATATCTATATTAAATTTTATTATATATTTAATAATTATAATAAATTTTATATTTTTATATTAAATTATTTTAATAATAATAATAATAATATTAATTTAATTTTAAATTCATAAATTTTAATTTGTGTTATTTTAATATATAACATAATTTTTATTACTTTAATAATAGTAATTTAATATATTAAAATATTATAAAGTAATAACAATGTTATTTAAATGTAATATTATTTTTTATATAGTCGGTAATGTAGAAATCTATATTAAATTATTTTCTTAATATTCATTTAATTTTAAATTAATACATTTTAATTTATATTAAATTATTTTAATAATTTTAATAATTTATTAAGTAGAAATATTTTAAAATAATATTTTAGTTAATTAACAATTATATTAATTTATTAAATGAATTATTTAAATTATCTATAAAAATTATCTACACAATGTTATTAAACATTATTCTACATTACATTTACAATTTTATTATTTATTTTTTATTTTACACTAAATTTTATTAAACATTTTCACCTAACTCTGTTTTTTTTTTTTAATTTGTTTGTTTGTTCGTTTGTTTTTTTTCTTTTCCATTCTACGTTAAAACGCAAATTGTCCAGAGAGAGTGTTTGACATTTTGTGTTATGAAAAATTTAACATCCTACGTTAAGAGCATAATTTTTTCGTGCTCTCTCTTTCTCTCTCTCTCTCTCTCTCTCTCTCTCTCTCTCTCTTTCTATTTCTTTTTATTTTTCTTTTTTTCTGTTTTACTCTTTGCGAAATGCAGCAGCGAGCTTTTCGTCTAATTCGTTTCGTTTCATTCTTTTTTCACCCCCTTTTTCTAAAATCTTTTTCTTTCTTTTTTTGTTTTTCTTTCAATTTCATCGTGCCACGTCGTCCTACTTTTTTTTTTCAATCCATTTTTTCTTTTGAATTCGTCTAAAATTCTTTTGTAAAGAAAGATTTCTAAACAATTCTATTTCAATAAGGCAACACACCTAATTAATCCAATTCTTTTTATTAAATTAATTAGTTGTATTTATAATTTTTTTTTTTTTCTCTTTAAATTAAATTAATTTTAATCGAAATTAATTCATTTATTTTAAATATTAATAATATGTTCCTCAGTATTTATTATGAATAAATGAATATTACTCAATTCTTTTGTAACTGTTAAAAAAAATTACTTTACAAAAAATATATAAAATAAAACGCACCATCTGATGATAAAATGGTTTGTCGATAATGTAGATTTCCCATAAAATTACTCGTTGTTGGTAAGAACAAACGAATACAAACTAAATTACAGTTTCCTATTGTATCGACTGTTAGTATTCTATACAATTTAAAAATAATTCTTTTTCTTTTTTTTTTCTTCTAACTTTTTAGTTAGACTAAACGTTTATTAGACTTGTAACTAAATTAATTCTAAAACCATGACAAAAATTACAATTACAATTACAAAATCAATTGTTGAATTAAACTAATTAACACATATGTGCCAAAATTCAGACGAGAAATTTATATAATTATAAAAAGAAGTAAATCATTATAACAAAATGTCTAATTTTCATTACAAAATGGACGACAAGATTTTAAAAACTTGCTGATATTTTAACAAATGTAAAATATTAGCAAAAGTTTTTTCAATTTTTAATCTTTCGTTTGGTTCATGTATCATTTCAAAACTTTAACTAACATAAGCCACGTAGAAAAATGATTGGAAAAAAAAAATGAAAGATAATTTTCTCGTTGAACATAACCTAACTTCTCCAATTGTCCCTAATCCCAAAGGTACAACTGACAGGTCCAATTACTTTTCTAGAAATGAAAACGACCTGTTCTCGATCTAATTAAGAAAAGTAAACGAAAAGCACAAAGGACAAAAAAAATTGCAAAACTTGCATGGATTATTATCCGTCATTCTTCCTTTTTCCTCCACACAGTCCCTTCCGTCTCTTTCTCCCTAAATATTCCCTATTTCTCATTTTTACTACCCTATCAGTGCTAAATTTTTACGACCAGGTTTTCCACCGAAACTCATTCGAGTTCGAGAACTAAAAGTTCATCGAAGAAAAGCTCGGTAAATAAAAATGAGAATTAAAAACGAAAGAAAAAAAAGGAAAAAGTGTACAGAAAATAAAAATAGAACACAAAATCGTATGCGATCGTATATCGCATACCAAAATGGCGAACGACGCGTATCAGAAGAAAATAAAAGCAAAACAAATCCTGTACAAATAATTGCGTTGCTGTTCGACATCATATCGAATTATCAAATTAAAAACATACAAATAAAATAAACAAATTACTACACAGTGTATAACTGTACATATCATAATCAAAAGTAATCCTCGTTATCGACGGAGTACAAAATTATCAGATTTATATTTCAACATGGATGAAAATGATGGTTAATTGATATAAACCGGTTTCTTTTTTTATTTTGCATGTATAAAAAAAAAACAGAGACAAACCTCCAAGTGAGATTCCGATACGGCCACCGTTGTCCATGAATCGTAAAACGTTTGCGTCTCGTCCTTGAGTATCTTGGATCCTGTCTATCAGATAGACCACAACGTCGTGCTTTCATCAATTTACGCGTGGCATCATCGATCTCACCAGTAACCGGAATACCACTGAATCTCTGTAATAAAAAAAAAAAAAATAATAATTAAATTGATAAAGAAGAAAGAATTTCAAAGAAAACGAACAGAATCATTCGAAATACAAAATTGAATCCAATAAATGTACACACAAATTAAAATATTTTATCAACATACACAAATCAACAAAAATAATTTTTGTCTAACACATTCCTTCCCTTTATATATATATATTAGGGTGGGTCAAAAAAATGACTTTTTTTTTTCAAGTGCCACTCAAAAATGGGTTCCTAGACACCTTAAAAGAATTCTTACCCAATATGAGCTCTTAATTTTAATAGGAAGATCTACCGCATCGCAGTTTTTTATTTTTTTCTCAGTCCAATAGAATAAAATTCATACCTCATTATTTATTGATTGTACAGAAAAATATTTTAGACGAATTTTGTAGRAAATTTAATGCTCTACAAAAAAGGTATCTTATATTTTTCCCGTAAACCTCACCATTTGAATGATATTGAAGTTTTAAATTTGATGATTTTTAGACAAATTTTATTTTTGTTTATGAATTTTATAACTTGACAATAAATGACTATTAAACAGTGCATAATACAAATTTTTGTAGGAAATTAACTGCTCTATAAAAATGGTGTCTTATGTTTTGGCGATTAAATTAAGCGTTCAAAAGATATTCATCATCAAACTTTCATGTGTACTGATTTTTGTCTCTGAATATATATATATATGGGGAATAGAATAGAAAAGAATGAAAAAAAACATGTATTCACACCATGACGATGAATGTATGTACATATGTGTGCACACTCACACGTATTCTTTCTTCTTGACGAGTTCGATTTTCATGCAAATCCCTTTGTTGAATGGTGGAGAATGAGAATAAGAAGAAGAAATGAAAGAAAAGAAGAAAAAAAATGTTAGAAGGGTGAAAAACGTTGGCCAGTTACACGGTGGTCTGCTTCTGTCTTTTCTTTTCTACACATACACACACACACACACACATACATACATACATTGATGGTGCTGTATGTGTGTAATGTCACTGACAGCAGATCGTTTTTCCAATGGTCTGTGCATTTTAAAACCAACGTTTTCTTCCATCCAATGTTCTCTATTTTTTCCCCATTACTTTTCTAACACCCCCATTGTGTTTCTTCTTCTATGTAACATTCTACAGTTCTAGCTTTAATCATTTTTTTTTTTTTTTTTTTTTTGAAAAAGATAGGACACGGTTGGTTGGTGATGTTTGTAATCACCGGAAATCATCGATATGGTAATTTCAAACACACGTTTTTGTTTCTTTTATTTGTTCAATTTCGTTTGTAGAATTTTAATTAAGACATTTTGATTATTCATCCATTTATGTTCTCTTTATTTTTATTTTTTTATTTTTATATAAAAAAATTTGTAGATACTATTGCTACGATATTTCTATTGGAAATAATAATAATAATAATAATAATAATAATAATTATAATAATAATAATAATAATAGTGTGTGGGTGTGAAAGGAGGTTATATTAACGATTGGTGGAATTTTCTATGCCACAAAATTTGAATTTGAATATGAATTTGAATTTGAATTTGAATTTGAACCTTTATCATCGATTTGCTCTATTTCCAACCAATTTGAATTTGTGAGAATAATATTATATATTTTGGTGTGTTTACTTTTTCTTTCTTTTTTTATATTAAAATTTATTTGGTATAAATGTAAATGTTATAAATGTTATTCTTACTTGTAAATTTCTAATGGCGTCCCTCAGTTGATCTTCCGTTCTGAGATTACCGGTTTCGGGATTGCTGTCCGGTAAATAACCAAACTTTGTCAGATAAGTTTGCTGTAACACAAATATAAATTTATGATTAATAAAGTCTTCAAATATACAAGGTGTATTTAACAAACAAGATAATACATAAAACAATTTAAACGAAAGCAACAGAATTATATTACTCCATTAATTGTCAGTGATATCAAATAAAATTGGCGGGAACAATTTTCAAAGTATTCCACCATCTTTCTTTTCATAAAAGAAATATATAATCAATTCTAACCTAACTTTTGTACAACAATAACGATAACAAATCTTACAATACCACTTTGAATAAACAAAAGTGGAGGATCAGATGTGTTCAACAAACAAAATTAATATAAAAAAACCATAAAAAAATTTATACTCATTTAAAAATCATATAACCCCATTAATTGACACCAACACCCAATAAAAATGGCGGGAACAATTTCCAAAGTATTCCATCATCTTTCTTTTCATAAAAGAAATATTATACAAGATCAATCCTAACCTAACTTTTGTACAACAACAACAACAAATCTTACTAAACCATTAACTTTGAACAAACAAAAATGGAGGAAACAATTTCGAGAAAAAAGAAGATAAAAATGGGGTTAAGGTAGCGTAAAGTTGTAGTAAAGGGTTGTAAAAAGGGAGAAAGGAGTGAAGTAAGCTTTGACGACAATGGAGTCACGCGCGGTTCATATTTCCTTAAGTTCTGAGCTACAAAGTTTCCCGTTTCTTATTCTTATTCTTCGTTCTATCGGAATGAAATAAGAAAGATAAAGTATAAGGGATGGGATTGAAAAAAAGAAGGAAGGAAGGAAGGGTGAGGGTGAGGTTGAGGGTGAAGTAATAGGATGGTTGTCGTCATGGTCGTAGGTTTGCGTTATGCATTACCTATATGGTGAATCCTATTAGATATATATACTGCTAGAGTAAGGTAAAAGAAATTGCATTGTGTCATGGAAAAATGGTTTACTGGATACACAAAAGACATTGGAAAATGGTAAAGTATGAAAAAGAAGAACGATAAAAGAATAAAATGAATCAAAATAAAACAAAGTCAAGAAAAATATAATGGATGAGTAATAATATAACATGGTAGTAAAGTTGCAATAATGGTGGTGGTGTTTAAATCTTTTCTTTGAACATAAAACAAAAAACCCTCTTTGAATTTTCTTAATTACTAAAAAGAAATTTAGGAAGAAGTTTTGTTAAGGTAGTAAGAAACAAAATGACGGAGAAAATTTATTCGACTATCGATTCGACCCAATTTTTGTTTGTGTCTTACGAAATCATTTCACAAAATTACTTTTATTATTTATTCTTAAATTTTGTAAGTTACAAAAATCAATTAAGTTGAATGTACACGTGATCAAATGGAATACATTTCATTCAACATAACCGAACTTTTCATGTTATTCGAAATGTTCATAATTTACGACACATTTTATATTCCACATAAAAAGTTTATTAAGAAGAAAGAAGTATGAGGACAAGTAATAATTTTCTGGAATGTAACATACTTCATATATTACATACTATATTATTGTGAGTAAAGAGGTTATCTCTGTCTCTTTCTATCTAAAAAACGAGACGGGATACGAATTAACGAGAAAACGCGAGGAAAATTGGAATACTTTGGTGAAGCAAATAAATATAGCTGAGTGAGAGAAAGCTTTATGAGGTTCCTACATTCGGACAGGGTAAGTATGAAACATTCTTCTCGTGCCAAAAGAAAAACGTGACCCAAGAGAAAATTGAGACAAACAGTATACCCGATTCAAATTAAAAAAAAAAAATAACACACACACAAAAAAACCTTCAACGTGTCTTTTAATTCCCCTCTCACATTTGTGTAATAAATTATAAACAAAGTATAAACAATTTACATAAAATATTTCAATAAATTCTACGAAGCAATAAAAAATAAAAAAATAAATATATACGTATGAATATTATACAGTCTCATAAAAGATTATAAAAAATGGCGGATCATGTGTGAATGCTTTTCTCACTTGACGATTTGTAAGTTTAATTCTTGGAGTATGAAGACTCCGAGATGTGATGTTTTGATAAAAATCGTATTAAAGAAAGTGAACAAGTATCCTAACGAACGTTCATTGCTCGAACACCGTGAAAGAAAAGAGGTAAAAGATGTGGAAGATGGGGTGCCATATTTGGTGGAACGATGAGCGGCCTGTAAACGTACAAACGAGTCCGTGGGTAATATATCTTAGGGTAGTAGCATAAAAAGAAGTAAAGAAGAGGGTGGAGACACACTGAGAAAAAGAGAAAGAATGAAAGAAAGAGAAAGCGTGTTTTATTTCTGTGTATGTGTGATAAGTATGGTGGACTTAGACCGTCTTTGGTCATCGTGCACGATTTCTCTGGCATTGTTCGTGGATCTCCCTGCTTTTGCTTTAGAACCGGTTGCACGTTGTTAACTACGTCACTGGTTGCATTCCCATTTATGGAGTATAATATAGGACATATGCATGCACATGTATATATGTGTGTGTGTATGTGTGTGATACAAGTATTGTATTTATAATAAATAATATTTATTTATATATTATACTATTATTAGTATTAGTGTCATATTAAGAAAAATGTGTATGCAAATATCAAATTTATTTATAAGAATGCAAATTGTATAGATGAATACACACAAGAGAAATAATGTACGACACAATGAGATATTTTTGGGTTCTACTCCCACCACCATCACCACCACCACGCTACGGAGTTTAACCTCCTCTTTGTTGAGAAAGACAGGGATGAACGAACTATCCAAAACATCGACCCATTTACTGAAATACATATATGTAAATATATTCAAAATTAATGTTTACATAAACTAATTTTGTGTGCTCAATGTTTTATTATATCTAATATAAACTATCTTATATATTTCTATACTCAAATAATTAGAATTCTTTACCGATGTATCATATCAGACCTACATTATCGACTGAGTTTGGTATTAGGGATAAAAAAAAAAGGTGGGACAATACATAAACCCAAATAGAAGTATAATTCCTAACCGATGTGTCATCTTGTTGCGTGTTGAAGAAAATATAGTTTCTAAAAATTTGTTAAAAAAAAAAAATACAAGGTTTAAAAAAAAACCCTTAGAATATTTAATTCTATTTTTTGTTGTAATCGTTTTATCGAATTATCGTCAATGGAAAATATTGGAAGTAAGGAAAATCTCTTAAGGGAAAACTCGGTCACGATTAGTAGTAGTAGTTTGTAGTAGTAGTTGAACGTGGTGGTCGTGATGCGGAGAAGACGCGACCGCAGCTGTGGTTCTCCCGGATTCTGAATCGCCGACGCGGAACAAAGCTGGGAAATATATCCCAATGATAGATATAGTAGACATTGGAAAGCACTTAAAGTCCAATACATACGACAAGAATACACCTAACCAATTCTATGTTTTCTATTTCATTCTACTTCAAACTATATTCTATGTATTTATTTTATTTTATAATAGTGTTGTCTTTATTTTTAAAATAATAATAAAAAGTAAAAAATAAATAATAAATAATAAAATTAAAAAAAAAAACATTTGTTTATAAAATGTTATATATTGTATAACATATAATAATTATATAATAATAATAATAATAATAATAATAATAATAATAATAATAATAATAATAATAATAATATTTATATAATAATATAAATAATAAAATATAACATTTTATATATAATATTTAATTTATATATTTATAATAATATATTTGTTATATAAAATGAAATTTATTAATAAAAAAAAACCCATGACTTTACAATCGATATAATTGTTGTAACAATATTTTATTTATTTATATAGTAAAATAATTTTGTTAAATTATATAAAAATATTGTTTATATTATATATAACAATTAATTAGAAATATTATACGATTGGAAGAAAAAAAACATCGTACACATTCGTCTCCAGACATTTTTTTTCTTCGTTCACCGATTGACCGCTAGATGGAATCTTTGACTCGCATGTGAAATGTTAGCTGCATTTGTATAAAGGACTACCACTGACCGGGAGAAGACACTCTGGTTTTCCTTCAGAATGACGAATAAATCTTTCGCCTTTTACTAAAGATTTCCGTGGAGGAGAACATTGTGATGAGTTTATAACTCAATTTTTTGAATTCCCCTAACGAAAGTTGGGGGTGATAATTAAATCCAAAAATAATTAATTAATTCGGATGATCAGAAATTTCATCGTCCGGATCTCCAAATAGAACAGGGTGTATTTAAATGAGAATTTTAAAACATTTAATCCAAATTTCGGTTCCTTATTATTAGAATTATATTTTTTTGAGATAGAAACATCTTTTGATTATGAACCTTTTATGAGTAGTAAGTATACTATATACATATATATTCTCAAAAACGGATCCATAAGAACCACTAGAGTATGCAATTTAGAATTTAAATCATTAGTTTCAAAGTAAAAAGTTTAATTTTATTAAATAAAATTCTGCTTTGTTGAGGAATCCTTTCGAATTTGAACCTTTTAGTAAACTATAATATATTAACTGTATATAAATACAGTTACAGTACACATTATTATTACTAAGCAATTTAATACAGTAATAATATATATTACAATTTGCAGCTTAACAAGACACCCACCATAGTTAAAATACAGTATAATATAAATACATACAACACTATTTTAACAATTCATCCCCTAAAAAAGAACCCTTTTCAATAAAATTACCAGAAATGTCATAATATTCCCCAAACTAATTCTCCCCCAAATTGCATAAGAAAAAATTAAAATGTCTAGTAATTGTGTAGCGATTAAATTACGTTCTAACCTTAAAAACTTTATTGGAGCATTTCGATGAGTTCGAAAAAGGTTTGTGTAGAAAAAAAGAAGTTCTCTTTTATATAGGGGTGGGGATAAAAAAAATAGAAAGATTTTTCTCACGTTTCTACGAATACCTCACTCAACCACTCTGGTTTCGATGAGGAGGGAAAGGGAAGGGGGATGTACTTATCTTTTTCTCCTTGTCAGTTTGCCA